ATATCAAAATATTTCATTTCAAGATAACACGTAGTTGACATTAAACATAGAAAAAAATGACAGACGTGTCTGTGAATATCATTTTTGAGGATGGAGATTTGCGTCGTGATATTATGCCATGAGGATGTCTGTCTAAAAAAAATGCAATTCATTTGTTACAATCGAAGTGAGCGTATTTATCTCGTTCGATGATAAGAAAACTTTGACGAGTGAACTTTGCTATACTCTACAATAAACTTTCAATCTGTGTATGTAGATTGTATATATGACGGTTTTTATTGTTTGATCGATAGACAAATCGGTTACAAAAAGCAGGAGTCACTAATGATTTGTTCTACGATCGTTGTCTTTTACAAATACGAGAAAATGATTCTTTGAAAGTTTTTCTATAAGAACTCGAAGGAACAACGAATATGACAAACATAAATATCGGCGGTAGAAATGAGATAAAGTAAGCGGAAAGATACAACCATGAATAATGAGGCACGTCGATACATCCAGATAACAAAGAGATGACTAATCGTGGGGACGATAAAAGAAGTAGAATGATAGGACTGATGACAAGTTGCTTATGTTCATTCCACTGTTCTCGCATATGCTGCGTGAAATTTTGTCGATTTTGAGCTTCTGCTCGTCGTCGAGCAGTTCCAATGATGATCAATACGGCAGAAAGAAGATTTATAATGAATGGTCCAAGAAGATGAATGAACAGAATACTTGTGTTGTAATCTTGAATTGATTGAGGATACGAAGTTATACACCAGGTGTACCATGTTCGTGTTTCTGATAGGGTTACGAAACTGGTGAATCGCTTCATTTCCTCTGGGTCATAACTGAATAGTTGTCGATATAATGGCTCGTGAATGATTGTAACCATGATACCAAATGGTAAGATAAATATAATCCATCGAGCAAAACGTTTGCTTTTCTTTTTATTGAAGTTCACGCCTTTATAAACACTTATCGCCCGTTCAGTTGCGACACATGCGTTTAGCCAAGTATCCCAGTAGAAGAAAAGTTTAAGAAGAGTTTCAATCCACTTACAACCACCTTGGAGAACAGATAAACGAATGGACGTGTCCATCTGTGTGACAACAACGAACCAAAATTTAACTGTAAACACGGTAACTGACAAAAGAGAAGTAACTGATGATGCAAGAAGATACAGTCCACAACCAACTTGTCGTAAAGCCTGATTTTGAAAAGTTAAAATTGAACAAACACTACTCATAACACCTGCAACTAGCATGGCTATTGTCGAAGCAGAACCTATTTTAATAATAAGTGGTTGATCATGAATAGTCATATTTCGTTTCACTTCCAACCGTAAAATATCATCCAGAGTTAAGCCAATACTTTTCACTTGGATATTACACGAACCACCAACATAACAGTGCGTGGCGTTGACAACTAAACAAAAAAACAATAGTACTTTCGCTGAATATGCGTGGTAACTACGGCGTCTTCTATGAGTACAGCTTTACATTCAATCATCTATGAACTGTGGCGAACACTTACTAAAACGGTCGAGATTGACATCCGTTAAGCCAAGTACTCCGACTGTGAAGTGTGTGTTCCTTAATTTATATTTATTTGATACAAGTATTATGTATCTGATATCAGTACGAAGGTTAATTGTGAATCTGAATTTTTCTTCACGCCGGCACTGACGGCCGCGGAATCGAATAGAATTTTTTTTTGGATTGTATGGATCAAATTGGTTTTCATAGAGATAAATATCTACACGATTGCCTGCATCAATTGAAACGGCATAGTATTCATTTCTAGGCACGCTTAGCTGTGTAGTTTCGTAGTGATAGAGTGAACCGGTACATTGTTTATCGTATGTTGAACTATTGCCTGTTAGTTGTGACCGATGATCAGTATAAACAGCTGGTGAATCATCTACATAAAAAACCAGTCATCTGTTACTATGTCATGAATTTTGGAGACAAAATGTGACTTACTTGTGCTTTGAAAACTGACATGGCTACTACCAAGTACTTTGACAGAGAATTCTCCTGTTATCTTTGGGACACAGGTTGACACTATCAGAATGTATGGAACGTTCGTCTCTAATTGCACGGTAATTTGGTATGGATTACCATTGCAACCATTATCTTCATTCGAGAATAAATTTACTGATGGTATGACTGAGTAGAATTTCTGTTTATATATATAACTGGATATGTCGATATTAGAACTGCTGCTAAGAATAGTATAGAAGCCACTTTCATTCACGTACATTTGCAGTGCTTCGTAATAGTACTTGCTGGTTTTTGTACAAATATCACGGGCATATGTTGGATGATCTGTTGTCAATGCAGACGAGTGTACTGATTCGACAACGGATTCAGAATCTATTTAGGTTTATAATTATATTACAAGTGTTCTTACGTGAATCACTGGCATTCGTTACTCACTCGTGCGTTGAAGATGAACTGTGTTAGAACCGAATACAGTGATCGAGAATGGGCCTGTCACATTTGGATTATACGTTGTTACAACCAAGATATATTTCGTGTTGAGAAGAAGTTCAAGGGTGAATTTAAACTGATCTCTGTTACAGCATTTGCCGTACCACGCAATAAGGTTGTGTTTCGGATTGAATCGATCGAAATGATCTTTGTATACATGACCATACAGATCGATACTACTGTTGCCGGTGAGAACATAGAAGCCCTTCTCGCGGACAATGATTTCAATTTCTTCATAGTGATATTTAAAGTGATCGAGTGTAGCACGTGAAAACATGGTGTGGTTTGCTGTTAAGATCGATGAGTATTGCGTTTCAACGCTTGATGGAACATCCACTGAAAAACTAATTAGTTAATAGCTTTCACGAAAATATTTCAAACTATTACCACAAGAATCTTTTTGTAGATGGAATTTCTGTATTCGGACATTACTCATAAGACAAACAAATATGTTTCCGTACACATCAAAGCTAAAACTTCGGGGATACTCGAATTGATTGGGATCAATAATTTTCTCATCGCATCCAACCAAACATCGAAAACCATTTGGTCCTGATCCAACGATGCGTTTAGTTCCATATTCCGTGATAAAAATGAATTTGTCAGCGTCCAATACAACAGCAACTGGACCCTGCAGTATTGTTGTAATATCGGATGAATCATGTCCTGCTACTGTTTTTCCGCGTGCTTCTCCTGGATAAAATAGTTGAATTCGGTGATTATTATAATCCGCCACATATAAGTCAAAATTGATGTCAACAAAGATTCCTCTAGGACCATCCAATTGATTCGGTTTCCAACCGTTTTTCCGTGTACCAGCAATAATCATTTTATTCTCCTCATCATTAGTGTTCAAGAATCTCTTTAAGACTATATGATCTCCAAACATTGAACAGTACAGATTATTGTCAACATCTACAAACAGATCAGTGCATGGATCATATATGCCGGTGAAAGCAAGGATATTTTTCGCACCCGCCGTCCATTTGTAAACGCGGCCCTGGTTAGCAGCAATGTAAATATCACCATTGTTCGAAACAAATATCGAGTCAGCCACCGAAAAATCTACGTAGCTGATCGTGGTGGGATCCACGGTAATGTGAGACCTGACTATAACTTGATTTTTAGCGTCAGAAGTAACATAAAATGTGTTATTTGCATCAATGAATATGAGCACAGCATGCTCTTCGGTTCCGACGTCATGTACACCTGCAAAAGGCGACGCGTCTTGATTCCACTTTGCTGTTGGACACAGCTTTGGCTGATCGTACGAGAGAGCTACAGTAGAACGAGAGAAAATACATCAACTGCTAAACACATTCGCAAAAGTGTAATTTATTATCAATAGGAATTGAACATATAAATGAGTAAACTCTAGAAGGTGAGAACGATTGCATTTTTTGAAGAAGCAAAAACTGTTACCTGATATTTCATAGAGCAGAATCAGCACAATAACAATGTGCATAGTTAGATTCTTATTTGTCTGCATATTTAATGACGTACAAGAAGACAGAATGAATATTGCATGCTTTTCCCGATATATATAACTTCATTACTTTCCATTATTTATCATCTCCGAACATCTCGACGAATTAGAGACGATTGATATAAATAAATATTCCTTTTGCTCACGACCAATACTTATGAATAAAAAGTTGATTTAAGTATAATATTTGAAGAATTATATTGATATTACGTGATTTACATATCTGAACATGATCGTGCTTTCTTCATAAGCACACTCAGTTTTGCATTGTTTTATTATAAATAGCGCAATTTAGAATAATCAGTGTTATTGATTACTTGGTATTGTGTGGAGTCGATGAACCCTGGACGAAATTGATTATATACTTAATTTAGTGCTGGCAACCATATTGTGCATTTGATCCAAAAATAATTTAGTAGAAAACCAAATATTTTGATGCGATATTGGATTAGAGAATTAATATTCATTCTGTATGATGCTTCGAAATGTCGAACGATTTCTATTACAAATTCAGAATGGGGTATTTTCTTCGGCACATTAGTAGAATGTATCAAAATCATTGGCAAACAAAAAACGTAACAAACTGATGCGATTACGGCAATGAATCTCAGTATCGTGAACATTAACATAGATTTTGGTTTCTAAATCATGTTCATTTATTTAACACATTATGAATAGATATGTTGTTTACATACTCCGCTTCTGAATAGATTACTTATAGTTAGAAACGCTTGCTGAGCAGTGTGATTTGCGCAGGAATGACTTTTGTTAGACGACGAAACTGGAATTGATTACCAAAATCAATGAATGACTTGTCGTAGATCTGATATTGATAAGAATTTAGTAAAAGAATACGACGAACTACTGTACAATCAAGTCTCTTTGCTTTCGCTTCTATTGAGTCTTGGCGAAATTTCACGCACAAGACGTCCTGATTACCTGAATCAATTAGTAACTGTAGAAAAGTCCATATTAGTACAGTAAATTAGACGAGAGAAAACAATGCGATGGCACGGGTATTGAGAAAAGTAGAATCGAGTGAAATAGTACAATTCCCAAAACTCCATAGAATCATGCAGAAGAAAGTTTCTATCTACGACGATTTTGGTCTACTCGATTGATTTGTGGAATTGAAGTAAATGAGGATTCAATTTCTTTCTCTTATTTTCTTGAAGGCTTTATTATAAAACTATATCAAGTTTTTGCCCTCGAGAATTACCACTACCACTAACATGAAGATTGCCTGCCCAATCAAATGATCAATCAGTAGACCAGTACAATTGATTCAGTTCGACTCCTCTTTCATTCCCGCTATGTCGCCCGCAGATCTCAAACAATTGCTCCACATTGTGAAATGACTCAAAGAAAAACTAGGATAAATCAAACCATATCCAAATCATTCGGACATGCGAGAAGTATTCCCATCATCATTGTTGCTATTATTGTTTTTCTATAATGGATGTGCTAAAATACATATTTGATACTGATCCAGCTAAACAGAAATTAAACACAAACACTGTCTAATAATCAAAAGATTTGTCTGTTTGCCTTGCTAAAACGAATGCTTCTTGTTCACTCCATCGGAATTAAACGTGACACTACCCGTCGAATGCATTCTTCAGTATGTTGACGTTCACGAAGACTGCCTATGTTTGCACCACTGTTATAAATCTCCGCTATGTCGATACATTGATACAGTGCATCTTCATACCTATTTGCATCTTCCAGTATCATACCATAATTATTTAGTGTTGTGATATATTCGTTCGTTGGTAGACGAACATCTTGTTCAAAATACTAATCTATAATTTTCTAATGCGTTGACATTGTCATTCAATTGCCGGTAACAATGACCCAATTGCATGAAATATCTGGCTTTCAACAATGGATCAAATGAAACGTCTGTCTGCATCTTCATTATATAAACTACCTGTTCAAGAAATAGAATTGCCATTGGATATAGACCGCTTTCCAATAGGCTTTGGATTATAGTATACGTTGCATGAGCTGTCTGTTCAAGATTGTTTCGATAATTGTTACTGTTGGCGTATTCTAATATTTCATCAATTGATTCATCGACTGATAACTGTGAATATGCATTTGATAAAAGATTAGCGGCTGTATGGAAATCATTACATTCATCTTCGGTGGTTAATCGAACACCTTCCGTCGTAGGTAACTGTTGCAAACCAAATTTTGTTTCGTTCATTTTTCGGTACATAAACTCCGCTTCTTCTGTATCATTTTCACTGTTAGCAATAACGAATAAACCTTCATAACAATCGTACTGCTTATTTCTATCGTCCATCTTCCGGAGAAACTTTGCCGCTTGTAACGAGAAATGCAGCAAAGCAAAGTAAAGGATCGTTCGCGTGTTTCTCCAGCATAATTTGAAATGTTCGATGAAGTGGCTCAATTCGTTCCTGACACTTGTCCTGCAAACTCATCTCGATTGAATATACTTTGATCTCTTCTTCGAGACGCATATCAATTTTATCAATGTAAAACATTTGGCCCGGTACGAATAAGATTTCGTCTTCTCCAGAAAACTGACTTATCTTCGAGATATCAGCAAATGGAGAGTCTGGCGATGCCTTCTGTTTGGATGCAGTTATCGTGAACACGATTTGAACATAATTCATGTCTTTCGGTCTGGTTCGATCAAGAAACCACAGAGCGGTTTGTTTTTTTCTCGAAGTTGAAAAAAAAGTGTTGATAACGACAGGGGAGTGTTGACGGTACGCTACTAACAGATCTGCTATTTCGTATTCACTAGATCGTTGACATCGATACAGAGTTCGTACTTCATCCGACAAATTTTTCCATTTGCTCACGGATTTGTGCATAAATATTTTGAAGAACGAATCGAAATGGTAGAAGATAATGAAGGTTTTTCTTACGCAATGATTCATTCAGAACACTGTAAATATGCGTATCTCTAGTATAGAAAAGCACTGCTTGACTTGGTGAATATGTTTCTTTAAAATTCTGGATCTGTCGAGTAGTAGCAAGGTTTTCTCTTGCAAATAATTCAATTAAATCGTCATTGTTTGTTTCGTCAGCTGGAGCCTGCAAAAGACATAGTAGTAATGTGTAACGAAAGACAAAATCTTCGTCAAAGCTTTTAAATGAACGATCAATAGGTTCCACAGAAAGATCATTTTCTTCCACGCAAGCTAATTCGACAGAATCGGAAAATCGTGCTTCGACTAATGATTGATGGTAGTCTGGAATGGTTGTCACCTATTTGTACAAATCCACACACGATATATTGCACAAATGTTTTCTCATACTTTAGATTTATTTTCTGAACTTGTTTACAATTGATGATATAAGTAACAAGATCGCATGAGAAACGTCCGCCAAGCAAAATCATGAATTTGACTTCTGAATCTTCACTTGTTGTCTCGATGACGTAGTCAACACAATGTTGGAGATCGTTGAAAACATTCACCTTGTTTATACAGTTCGACGCAATGAAATCCGTTCGTTGGAATTCTTGTAATACTTCTTCATCATCGTAAACAATGAGAAGATTTGTAGACAATATCGTTTGAACGATATTTCTCTGTGCTTCAGCAATTTGATGGCAGATAATTGATATGTCTTTGCCGGTATTCAAGTCAGCCATTCAAAACAAAGAGTGCCGAGCAAAGAATCGAAATTTCAAAAATATTCTTTTTCATTGCTCTCAACAACGTAAACGAACTTTTTAATCATATATAATGCACCTTTCATACGATTTCGCACAATGAAACAAAACAAACACCGTTCGAATGAGTTGAGGGTGTGCCATACTTATACAATAATAAATTTTTTCTTCATTTTATTTCAAGATTTTAGGAAATATTTGCTGCTCTGGTAAAGGTCCGTACAAAGACGTCATTTACTTTCCACTAACCGGAAAAAAAGTATGACGATAAAGAAAAAAATCAAACACGAGTTCAATTCATTTCTGGGTGCTATGAATCACGAATGATGAGATGATAAAGTTGCTACACAAAAAGATTCTTTGTTTACCGGGAAAGCTTTGCGGAGGTTTTTTAGAGTCTGATCTTCTTTTCATAATATCAGCACCTGGAATGTGGAGAACCCTAAGCGGTTTATGAAGATACAGCTCGAGGAAATCACATGTTTTGTTTTTGACTGAGTTTGATTTATGTCAGCGTTAGAAACAACTTTTTCAATTAAAGTTTTGAAAGAAAACCAAACTTTTTTTCATTACAAGACCGTTTGTGACAAATGTCAAATAAGATTTTTCTTAGTATCAATGAGTTTAAATCGTTGGAGCAATTGAATTTGTTTGTTGTTTGAAGTACAGACTACCCTTCACTCTCCGACGAAATCGGCTTGATGAGAAAAGAAAAATGAAGAAACTTGGCTAAAAATAATCAAAACAATCTATGTAGAAACCAACATCAAAGAGAAAAAAATCAACGTACCACATACTGAAACGTTGCGATACTACTGATAATTGTATATGCAAGATATTCTTTCAGTATTCGATCCTGATCTTTGGCAGTGCCAGATGTAATTGCATTGTATATATGAAACGTCGCTAATGGAGTGCAACAGACTAAAGTCCGAATTAATTCTGAGAACGTCATTTTGATTAATTGACGATCTGCTCGTTGCTCAGCCAGAGCTATTGTCTGACGAATGTTTCGATAAGTTAAACGTCCAAATACACTTGTGATCAACATTGGAAACACCCAAAACATCAGCACAAAATATATGGGGAGATAAATAGCAAGGGCAGCATTGAGACTACCACATGTTCTAGTTATGGGAGAGATGTCAAAGTACAAATAAAAAGGAATTGAATGAAGACACCAGAAGATGATGACAGCAAGTAGAATTCGATAGGAGACTTTCATTTGACTCATATGCCGGAACGCTGCATTCGATGACGTGACCAAATATTGATCAATGGCGCAAAGGCATATCACAGTAATGGACACACTACCTGATATTGTGAGAATTGCTTGTCGTAGTTTACACCATAGGGAAGATACACTCGTAAGATCGTATCCGTAGCTGAAAGCAATAACACGAGGCAGAAGATTGATAATTAGAAAAATGCTTTCGAATATTGATTGAACCAGAAAATAAAATGTCGAAGGTACTTGCCGGTATGCAGCAACACTGGAAAAGATGTAAGCATTCATCGTATTACCGAATATTCCAAGAACAAGGAAAATAATTCCACTATAGACGACAATTTGTTGAGAAATATATGTTAAAGACATTCTGAGAATGGCAGTGTGTTACATAAAACCGTTTTGATTATAAGGATACTCAATCTACTATTGACGTCACAATTATATGCTCGGTAATTTGAAATCTATTTCTGACGGGATTTTTTAAATTAATTTTTTGGATGTCAAGTTAATTCCACTGCTTAGAAATTGTTTTATTCAACATTTTACAATTAAGCGAATAGATATAGGATTTTTATTCTAGTACAATTGATGTAACATGCGTAATTTAGTACAGAAATCGATTTAAACCGCCTTGTACGCATATAATCACGCATGTAATCATCGCACGCAGCCAATACTACGTATAGCAATCTCACCGAATGTGAATTAAAATCCATTCACTCGATATAATTTATTATAGACGAAAAGAAAATATAGTTTGAATAGCATATCGCTTGTGTTAATGTAAACGTATGCGGGCCGTCACTAGATGTCGGTAACGTTCAAAAGGTTAATAGTGTGAAAACTGTTACAGAGAATAATTTTTTCTGTCGCTCATGTGAAGACGAAACTGAAAAAATGTGTAAAAAAAGATGTTCTATTATAAAACTACAAGGCCTTTGTCTGAATGTGGATTAATGAAAGGAGGGAAAACTACGATGCACACACATCTATAAACTACTGAAAAATGAGTTCATAGCTTAAAGAAATTGTTCATTTATGGTAATTCCAGGCCATCGTAAGCAGGACTAAGATAGCAAACATCATGCTCATATCGACATGCTCTTTCATGGCAGCACTCTTCGTTCCTCGACCGTTACAAGCTGAATTGACAGGATTGATTACAGTAACAGTTTGACTGTCACTACTCAGTGTAAGTGTGTCGTTGGTAGAACCAACGACCATCCAACCAGAGTATCCATTTGTATAAGCGATGCCTGTGAATATTGTTTGACCACCACACACACCATTGACACCAGAAACCACCGCATAAACGTTCGGCGCACCAGAAGCTACGATTACTTTGCCGCTCAGACAACAACAGCTGGTTGTATCACAGGACGAATCGGTTGTATAATTGCCTTCCCATGTTTGTGCTTGAACGACACTGATAATCGATACCAATAGAACGACGGCTAATGTCCCTTGCATGATTTTGTTCGTTGATGATTTGAAATCACTTGCCGAGCAGAAATCTTTTTATACTCGTCAAAAAGTTAATCATAGTTTTGTCATTGTATATAACAAAAATAAAACAAAGCGTCTCACATGAATGATCGTCGTCAGTCAACATTCTCTCTGTGAGAAGACGACGTGAAAAGTGCAAGCATCTGTTTATTTTTGTGTTTTTTGCATGCCAACGCACACTTACGTGGGTAAAATAGTACATGGCATTGGGTGCGTAGGAAGAAAAGCAGAAAGGCTGTGATTGTAACGAAAAAGTAAACACAGACAAAACAATTCTATACTCGACTGTTTTTACATTCACTTGTGCCTGCAAAAAATGTGAAATTTGTTCGCGTTAAGGTAAACTTTCGTTGCAAACAAAATAACTTTCTCTCTCTCGTTCGTTTGGAATTTCATTAATTTTTAATTTAGCTGAGAAGTCTTTGAAATTTTATAAATCGACTGTTCATCATCAACGAAAATAAGTTTAGGACGATTTAACTGATCGTGATAATCGCCTTTACCATTGTCAATCAGCACTGTAACTGCTTGATTGTTGTCCTGCTTCCATCGCCTAATTTCATTTTTCTTCCGATCCATAAATATATCTATACTTGCCCTTTGCTAAACGATAGCAATCGATACTATCGATAATTGTTTCTTTAGCTTACTCTTCATCTTCAAACCATCGAATAACTCGTCGGTTTCCACATTCGACAATACTTTTAATGAGCGATTTTCTTTGTTCATCGAAAAGCACATCAGTTAAATACAACAATTACTCTTTCAGATTATTCTTAGATTCATTTACGATATCACTGTCTTTCCTTTCATTAGATTTCCATTCCATGATACAACGCCTGTCGTAATCAGAAATCATCAAAGTTTGTTTTTTTTTCCATAAAAAATTCTTGAGGGTGTGGTTGTATGCATAGATTTGCAACATTCGCTCGCATGAGTCATCGAAGAGCTGTATTCATATCTATCGATCCAATTGGAGCATTGTACTGAGTTGACGTACTTTCAACAAGTAAGTGTTGTAAAGTCATTGGCGCTGGTCACGTCGCTGCATTTTAATTAGATTTCGGACTCTAATCTGTAAGACTAAATATGAAAGATTTTTTATTTACTGTTCCTTATGATAAAAATTGTATTATTTCATTTGGATAAAGCAGCTTTTAATCAAACTTTTTAAACTGCGAGGAATATGCTCAGCAAGATCATCATTTATATTTCATACAAAATCGAAATAGTTTATTCCTAATTAAAAATATCTACTAAGGCGAGCAATGCCGATATGTAACAATAGTAACGACCAATTAACACTACGGAAGCCACTTCTATAGATCGATTCACATGATTTCGATTTGTATCCATCTGCTTCTGTAGTGACGGTTGTTGTTGTCGTTGTCGTGAGGATTGTGGTAGGTAACTTTGATTGTAGTGTTAAAACAACAGGAACGATAACAACAACGCATACAATTATAAGTATAGTACAGCAAAGCATGAACACACAATAATGATGGGAAGAAATCATATCGCACAAACTACTAGTTCCACTATTTCTTGACGGTGAAACCAAGGGTGTGACTGCTTGATTGCTGATAGTAGAAGAATTATTCGACACTGTTTGAAGGCGATGATTGGGTAGAGTATAAACATATCCATTTGTTCTGTGTTGTCTTGGTTCGTAATTATGTTGATGTCTATTCCCAGTGCATGAAGTATCAGGAGAATAATCGATGCTATCATTGCGAATATTAACATTATATTGGTTAGAAATAAATCGATGATTGTATGCTGAAGTGTATGGATGTGAGGGGCGATGGTAGATTTCGTCACTATTCTGAATAGTTGAAAATAAAGTTCAGAGAGAATGGGGGGCACGAGCTGAGCTGCGTGCCTGTGATTGACGTGTTGGAGCGAACGTTCTATTATTCATAATCTTATCATATGGTGATATGTAACGACGCGGATGCTCAGCTATGCGTAGGTTTATTTAAAATTGATTTTGTGCTTGCTAAATTTTTTGGCTGTACAACGACACTTCTTGGAATGGAATGTGACCCTTCTGATGTCTAAAATATTATGATGCCTGTCAAATTTCGTCAATGTAATAAACATGATATTTACTGCTGTTTGATGATTTTGAGACTGTTCTCGATAAGCGTCAATAAGCTCTTTAACAGCTCGATTCGGTCGCAATTCTGATACTCGCAACGGAGTACGTGTCAAAGGACTTGTATTTTTATCATTTATCCACCGTGTGATGGCTGCTCACTCATATGTATATCCATCCTCTGCTATAACTGGGTCCTCCATTATATCCCTTGTTATTGGGCACTGAAGCCGTTCCAGAGTCACTGAACAAGCCATAATCAACTCTTCTCTTAAGATTGTTATGTAGAATTTATTCAAACATCAACCACTTAAAATACAGACGTAGAATTAGTCACTCTATCGTTACTTTTTCCACGTTGGAAAGAAAAAAACAAAGACTGCCTCTCATTACATTCTCTTTTCCTACGCCTTGTTATTTTTGAATGACTGAAGAAACACTCATATGTCTTCTGCATATCCTAACTAGAAAAAATATGGTTGCCAACTCGTGTTTACTCACGAAATTCTCGCATTTCTCCCTTACCAGAGACCCTCATTGAGCTTCTAGAGAAATGCTGACGTATTTCACCAATTATAATCATATTCACGAATATTCGAGAACATGTGAATTGAAAACGCTTTGCCATTGATGGTATTAAATAACATAGAATGTTTATCTTTCTAATTGGTTTCTTAACTGAATGTAGATAAAGCGTATAACCTTTGCTGCAAGATCATAAAGTATTTTTTACAGCCAATGTTTTCTACCTTGCTCTATTTGGGCATTACAGCCTTATTTTTCGTTCAAAACTCATTATCAGAACATTCCGTTGGGAGTAACGTTGGTCGTGTGAAATACGAAAATGGTGAGGTGATTTTATTTCAAAACCTCGACAAGCCAACAAACTTCTTCTTCACTCCTTTTCCTCTTGTTAATCCATTGAATAGTCGATGTCATCGAAATATCTTAAGTGGCTATGCTGAACTCAGTCTTGCCATTGATCTTTACACTTCTCAATTGATTCAAGCCGTTAACGAGTATGTGAAAGAGCTTTTTCCAACCTTGTGTGACAGTAACCAAACATGTCACACTGCAATGGTTCCTATGAATGTGATTGGTCTGGTTCAGAATGGTCTGCGAACCAATGAAACTCGTGAAATGTATCAAATCGGTCAAGAATGGTTTCCAAATACTATTTTTCTGCAATCGATCCATTTTCCAATATACACTACGTACGAAGACGTATGCGAGCGTCTTCTCTCATCGCTAGTCAGTGACTGTTATCTCTCGAATTTCGAAGTGCATTATTCCCTTCATCCAGAAAAGCTAGTCGAACGACAAATCGACGTCACCACAGACCAAGTCATTCGTACAGCAATGTTTCATCAAATTCGAGCCCAATTCTCTATGACGGACACCGTAGTCGTGACCAATCATGACTACAAGCAACTTCTCAGCGAAGTCATCAACAAAATCAACATGAAACTACGCAGTCAAGAAGGTTTTGGCAGTTCTTTGCAAGATCCAAGCATTCTCGAGCGGTTACTTGATCAGCAACTACCATTCAAACAGGTTAACTACTCATTCTATTGAGCCCTAAAAATATTTTTTCATTCTCTAGATCCGCTTGAGTCAGGCGGACGACAAATTATGGAATTCAATGTATCGGACATCTGATTCGACTCGACCAGATCGTTTGGCGAAAGCTCTGAATACCATTCTCTATCGCAAAAATTCAACCGATGATCAATACATTCTTCTTGATAGTCATACACTAAAGCATAGTTTGACGCAGCATGATATCGATCGTATTGAAGAGCTTGGCAAACTATTGGCAACTCGTATACCTTCTGATCATGTTACCACACCGTATATCATGTCCCGGGATGACGTTGTGACGTACCTCAGCAACATTTCGAATGAGATACATCTCGACAGTGAAATTATCGTTCCTAAACCAATCGATGTTCATCTGATCAAAATGAATACAATGAAAATTGAAAAGAAACTTGTGTCGCATTCGATGTTGGTTCGTACTAGGAGTGATATTCATGTTTTACCTCTTCGGTGCCCATTGGTGAAAACGAACTCAATTAAAGATCAGTACCGTCGGCTCGAGGATAAAGTAAGACTATTAACGGTACTCGTAAGAAATCTAACAAACCAGTCGTCCGAATGCCATCGAGAACGGGACGAGCTCTTGACACAAATGGCTTCGTTTGGACAAAGTGCAGTGAAAAGTAAATAGGATTTAGAAGAATATGAACAATACAGATTATGATTATTTTCAGAGCCCGTCGACTCACTGGCGATCAAATGGAAACCCCACGGAATTACAGTTGCAGGCGGCAATGGTGGAGGAAATCAATCCAATCAGCTGTACTTTCCTTGTGGATTTTTTCTAGATGATTATAAAGATCTGATTATTGCTGATTATTGGAATGATCGTATTGTCAAATGGAATTCGAACTCAGGGAAGGGTGAGACTATTGCTGGTGAGAATGGGCGCGGAAATCGATACGATCAATTATATAGTCCACGAGATGTAATTAATGAAAAACAGTACAATTCTTTCATCATTTGCGATCGAGATAATCGAAGAGTGATGCGGTGGTTTTTTCATAATAAGGAATATCAACAAATGCTCATGAGTGATATCGACTGCTGGGGTTTGGCAATGGATAAATCAGGCTACATTTATGTTTCTGATTGGAAGAAAAACGAAGTGAAACGATGGCATCAAGAGGAGCCGGCTGGAGCGATAGTTGCTGGTGGAAATGGCGCTGGTGATCGATATGATCAACTCAATTATCCCACTTATATCTTCGTAGATGAAGACTATTCGATCTACATATCGGATGGTGAAAACC